TTGCGCCCTTTTTATAACAGGTGTTATCTACGATTTAAAAAATTGTGCATTTTAATGTCGGTTCAAAATTATAACGGGTCATTATCCAACCATTATAAAAACAATGTTTTATAACGGGTAAATGAAAGTCCGTTATAAATATAATATATTTTATAACGGGTGAATGAGAAACTGTTATAAAATAGTGTAGTCTATAACATGTAAATTAAATATTTATAACGGGTCTATGATACCCGTTATAAATGGCAGTCAATTTATAACGGGTCACAACCGTTATAGAAAGTTCATACTTTTTATAACGTCTGATACTATAACGAGTTCAAAACTGTTACAAAAAGTCATTTTTACCCGTTATAAAAACTGTTTTTTCTACTAGTGCGGGGAGCCAAAAGCCACCCTCACAACCCCCGCAACACCGAAAATGCGACCAACATCACTCGAAAATCGATTCTCTGTTTGCCTTGGTGCACTCGTGACATGTTATTATGTCAAATTTTATGTCATCCATTGACATGATCCTTGTTTTCAACTCATCTTTCATCATTGATTAATGACTCTTTTGTTATTGAATACAGATTATATCGGGCTCATTAGACCTTCTCCAACCGATTCGCATAACGCAAAAAATGAGAGAAATTTGCTCCAATCGAACTGCAAATCCCATCGCAAAATCCGATTTTGGCCTTCTCTCTCCTCTGTGAAACGCAAATTTGCGTTCAACGCAAAATATTTGCGTATGAACTTTTAATAATTGCAAAATGATCCATTATTTAGTATAAATTAGATATCAAACCAAATATTATATAATATATATAATATATATGTATTTTATATATTGTATTTAGTATTATTAACTACTGTTTGTTTTATTATTTTTTTATTATTATATATTAGTATATTTTGTAAAAAAAAATTACAAATCATATTAATAGTTAAAAGCTTATTTAACACATAAAAAAGACATTTATATTATCAAATAATGAATATTAATTATATATTTTTTCATAGTAATAATAATATTATAATAATGTAAAATATTAAAATAATTAATTTCATCAAAATTAGATAGTATAATATTTTAAATAATAAATATTATGTTTATTATTTAATTTTAGACGTACCACAATAATAATGTAAAATATACATATTATTCTCCCTTTTTAATTTCATTAAAATAATGAATAACTTATTATTTCCCGTAATTTTTAATTTTTCATCTTGAGAATTGTAATTTTTAATTTTATTTGTGTGGCGAAATTTTAATTTTTAATGAATATTTATTTCTCCGATTTTATTATGTATAATTAATTTTAATTACATAAAGTCTAAATTTAATTTAAAATAATAGTGTGGTTTAATTTGTAAAGTTGTAAAATATGTGGGCAGTATTGAAAAGTTATAAAAGTTGGTGTAAAAGAGAATATTCTGGGAATATTCTTTTGGGTTTGAGAATGAGTTTTTCGGTTGGAGATGAATTACTGTAAAATGAGATAGTTACTGCAAAATGAGTTTGAGTTTGAGTTTTTCGGTTGGAGATGGCCTTATACATGATCTCCCATGGCCAGTGATTATGTTTATATTGGGCTTCGTACAAATTTTCTGGGCTCGAACTTTATTTGGTCCACCCAGATGGATACCATTTCTTGGCCCAAAGACAATGAGCCTATTATTCATTTTTTCTAGTCAACCCTCCAAATTTGAAGGCGCGTGGCCTCAAAGCATCATTGTCTCCAATGCCGCTACATAGTCAAAGCAGCCACGTAATCTCATTGGCCTATCATAACCCCAACTGCGTGGCGCCACTAAATGCACCTCCAAGTCCCACTCGCACGATTCATTGCGCGTGTAGCTCACTCCCACAAACGCAAACCCCTCCCCAGCTAAAAGAGTCCATAATTTCACACCATCGTCAAATATTGGTAAAATTCTCCGATTCATATACGAGAGAGAGAGAGATTGTGCAGAGATTGAATTTATGGACGCGCGGCGTTTATGGGCGGTGCTGTTAGTAGCGGCGGTAGTAGTCCCGGCGGCGCGCGGGGTGTGGCTGGACTTGCCGAGCACGGGGACGAAGTGTGTTTCGGAAGAATTGCACAACAACGTCGTCGTTTTGGCTGATTACTACGCCTTCATCGGCGAGGATTATGACGTTAACAACACCGTCATTCCTTCTATTACCGTCAAGGTTTTGTTCATCCTCTTTTGCCTTTTTTGTGTGCGATTTTTTTATGAGAATCGCTTGATTTTTTTATTCTCTTTAGCCTTTGTTTATGTTGATGTTATGGATATTCAGTTGTTTATTTGTTGAATTTTGTTGGGTGAAAATTGGGGATGATTAAGTATGAGAATCGTGCAGCTTCGATTGATCATCTCGTGTCCGGTGTAGTTGTTAATTATGACGCGATTCTTTAGTTTTAACGAACTACTAACTACTGGTAACTAATGAATACTGAGTCCATTTCCATTTTTTAGTATGTTAAAATTTAAATGCAGTTTTGTTTGTATGTAAGATTTTGCTTCTAGTTAAGTGCGTTGGGATTGTTCATTCAAATGTTTCTGTTTTTTCTTCTATAGTGACTTGGTGCAAGCCTGCAAGTAGTTGAGAAATAGAGTTACTTGCATTTTCACATACGAGTCGAAAATTGACCTTGGGAGTTTAACAGGAATTGATTCATAGTTGCGACTGAAACAAGTATATGTGAAAATCAAAGGTGGTGAAAAGGCTAAAGTCCCGTTACGGAACCATTCTGTTGGGATTTTTAACAGTTAGATGCACATATAGATGAGTGTAACATGTTCATCTAACAATTACAAATCCCAACGGAATGGTTCCGTAACGGGACTGTAGTCTTACCCCAAAGGTGGATTATATAGCAAATAGAAGTAGTTCAATTAATCAAATCAGAAGATGGAGCTTTTGGTGACAGGGAGTGCTAAAAACGTCATTTTCTTCGAAAGTTGGCAATCACTTTTTGTAGTGCTTCTAATATCACACAATCACTGGAATTTGTTATTGATATATGACATTCTGTTATAGCAATTGAAGAGCTTCACATGGTAGTACGTCATTTCCCTCTCCTTATTTCGTATATCTTTTTCCAAATACTTCTTTCGTTGGTTTGTTTGGCGGTGAGGAGGCTTATTCTGATAAAATCATGGTCAGGATTTGCTCTGCTATTGATTCTTACTTTCTTACAATGACTTGAAAGAACAACATAAATTTGAAGTCGGTTGATAGAACCAAAATTTTGTTGCTATGGTCTCCACAAAAATCCGGTTGGTCTTATTGTCATAACCTTTCAGTTACATGGGCAATATCCAATTCATAACATAGTCATGGCTTTACTTCAAGGAAAAAAAAAAAAAATAAAAAAATCAATTTGACTACTCAATCTTATTGCAAGAGTTTGTATCTAATCATCATAGTTTGTTTTGTATGAGTAACTGTTCTCTTTCTCCAATGACGTCATATTGCACCTTGGGTTACCTAAACTAATCCTATTGTTTACCACTTTTAGGTTACGTCACCGTACGGAAATGACCTCTATCATCAGGAAAAAGTCTCACATGGCCAGTTTGCGTTTACAACGACCGAGATGGGAAACTATGAGGCCTGCTTTTCATTAGACAATGATCATCATGGTAAAAAGGTGACTGTTGGTATCGAGTGGAAAACCGGGATTGCTGCCAAGGATTGGGACTCTGTTGCAAAGAAAGAAAAAATCGAGGCAAGTTTTGTTTGTTTGTTTTTCTTTTTTTTTTTTTTCACCTTAATGGTTTTGATTTGGCTTTTATCTCACTGATGATAACTATCATTTCTTTCAGTACTATTTGGTTTTATTTATCTTCTCATCTTATTCGTGGATCATGAACTGTGAATATCTGTAGGGGCTTGAGCTCGAGTTAAAAAAACTTGAAGAACATGTGGAGGCAATTCATCAAAACCTAAATTATATGATAAATAGGTAACTTCCTTATTTTTATTTTTATTTTTAAACTGTATGGATGTCCTTTCTCTTTTTTCTTTTATTTTAAATGTGTAATTCCTCAAATTCATATCATTTAGTAGTTGCATCAGGGATCGGAAATATACATATTACACTTTTTGCATCTCATTTGGTTCACTTGTTTATAGTACAGCTTTTCATTTTTTCCGAATTTTGCTATTGCAGGGAAGCCGAGATGAGGGAGGTTAGTGAGAAGACAAATGCTCGGGTCGCGTGGTACAGTTTAATGTCCCTTGCTTTATGCATTGTGGTTTCAGTTACTCAGGTATTTTACTTGAGGCGATATTTTCTGAAGAAGAAGCTCATATAGAGTAACAAATTGCAGTATACAGATTAATTATAGGTGGGAAAATAACAGTCTTCCTTATCATTAAGTAGAAGAGTTAGTTCACCCTGTCTATTTTCTCTCAAACGTGCATCAGTCTTCGAATACAGCAAACCAGAAATACATGGCCCGTCTCGAAAGGATTTGAGGATTTTTGTACTAACACAAATCCAGATAGGGGATATTGTTATTCCGAGTGAATAGTGATATGATGAATCTTTCGTCTTCAATCGTTCTCTTATCGTCCGTTCGATGTTGTTGGTGTTGTGGGTAATTTTCTTGGTTTTCCTGATTTTGTTACTCAAATTTTCATGAGATAATTACAGAAACTGCAGACAGTTGGTTTCGTGAAAAGCCCCTTGAAGTTTGACTCTAACTTGTGTAGTTTAACAAACGAGTCAGCTCAGTGGCTCGTTTGGTAAACAAATCAAGAGCTCGGTTCGGTTAGGTTAGGTTGGACTCATTTGATAAACCAATATACTTAAAGGAGTTGTTTGCAAACACAGAATGTTTATTCCCAAAAAATCCAAAAAAAAAGAAGTATATATATAAAAAGTAGTTGTTCGCAAACAAAATTGGCTTTAAAATACGAGTTTGTTTAACTATTCAAGTTCGGTTTGTTTTAAATAACAAACGACCCCGACTCAAGTTAAATACAATTCGATTCGAGTAACATTTCAAGTTGAGGCTCTTTTTCGTATATGAAACTTCTCCCGTGTCTTTGTTTCAAATTTGACATCATCACATTTTATTCAAATAAAGGACCAATTTAATGTCAATTACAACACATTTTGAGGCATGTACTATATACTGTATACATCGTCTAATTAATCAGACTAGAAAATTATGAGGTCATCAGAAAAGTTA